CCACCTCCCCGGCAGAGACCACCACCCCCGCCGCTGCTACTGCAACAACCGTTGTTGCCACTTCAGTCAGCGCTCGGTACCTCTTGGTGGTCAACGTCGGCGTCGTTGCCGCTTACGTCGAGGTTGTCCTTCCCGCTGAGATGCTGACTTGCGTGCTAGCCACCCCGTCCGACGAGTAAACAGTGTAGCGTCGCACTTATCCGAAGAATTGCCAAGCGTGGAACGTTGCTTCGTAAGCTGGTTGACTCACTTTTCTGCTGTTGGTGTGCTCTCGGTGTTGGCGTTGTTGTCATCGTGTCACCTACTTAATTATCTCGTGCGTCCTCCTAGCCATGGAGCCGTTCTCGCTTATTCGAGTTGTCTATCGAGTTGTCTGACTGAGAGAGCCCGAGTTCGAACGTCGAGCAGCGAGCCCTGAAATGTATTTGAAGTGAGAACGAGGTCCGGGCATCCGATCGGAGGGGAGCGAGAGGAGCGCCGGACAACGAATGGGATCCCATCGCACGCCTGGAAGAAATAAACCAAGCTAGAACGTGATGAGAAACGCTTACGTGGAGGCAGAGGAATGCCAAACGAACAACAGTGCCGAGGCACGAGAATACCACCGTGTCTGCGGAAGAGTTATTCCCATCTAATACGAACCGCTCGACTCCATACTACTACTTGGAATCTCACGAACGGAGAGTCCTGTCGCTCGCCCGCGTTGCGAGCTTCGTTTAATCGTTCGTTTGTCATATTTTCAGCGGCTGCAAATGGGACGGACGAACGCTGGGAGGGGACATCGGGAAACCAGCGAAAGCGCGATGAGAGGGGCATGAGCACAATGAGACGACTGTCCGACTGCTCGCCTGTCTGTCCGTCGGTCGGTCGTTCGTCAGCCCGACTGTACTTACGTTCAAGCGAGCTGCGCCTTAGTAATTTATCTTTCTTCTACTTTTGGCAGTCTCGAGCAGACTCGAGGCAAGCCGCGATCTACCCAAACGGGCGCGCTTCGCAAGCGTCGTCCACATAGTGCACATAGGCCACGATCGAGTCCCATTCTTACCCGTGTTCAGTTCCTCTGGTTCCCGCTCTAGCGCCCTGGAGGCGGGCGGCGTCGTCGCCACTCCAATGCTCGGCTCAAGAGGTCGTCGAGGACTCGCGTCGAGACCCCGTGTTCGTCCGGAACTACAGGAGGCATTCCACGGTGAGCACATCGAAGCTCAACAGTCCTCTATTCAGCTCAATGAGTCGTCGACCGGAGAGTGGGCAGCATTGAGCACACTTTGATTGACAGATGATTAACATAGCCTGCTCCTTGACAGCGGACGCACACATGTTGCATTCCGCAGCCAACCATCACGCCAATACTCCTGGCTGGGAAAGCTTACAACGTCAGTCAACGCTTGGGGAATGTTCACCGTGCGTGTTCGTCTCTTGAACGAACAGATCACACAATCGTCGTTCCTCTTATTTCGCGAACGTGGCTTCTCCTCCCTCTGGCGACGCAAACGACGACGACGAGGGGGGAGTTGCCCCATGTACCCGGATGCCATGACAACTTCCTGCGAAAGGGTGATAATTGTTTCACAATGCTGCCGAGAGAGCATTCCAACGAGGGGTTGGATTTGGACTCGCAACCCGGAGATGCCGTCAGACTCGAGACCGCGCTGAACTGGGCGTGCACGGTTGAGGCTTCAGCTTGTGGATTTATTTAAACGAACAGCCCTGTCATCAATGATGATTCGTTCCGCCTCGATAGAATAATTGACGCCTGAAGGATCAGGATTAATTGGTTTCTTTGAGGAGCTTTCCTCCTGCGGAAGTTGGTCTTCGGCGAAGGGGTCTTGGTGGAACTCTTCGTTCTGAGCTCGCGGGACTAACTTCCGGAGGCGTCGTCGTCCTTCGCGAGCCTTCTACATATAGTTCCGAGCGGAGCTGCGAGTCCGATCAAATCCGGCTCCGATCATCGACTCGAACCTCGTTGAGGAGCTCAGGTCGAGGTCCAAGGTCTCCTTCCGACACCTTTCCCGACTGAGCCATGGGATATTGAGAGAGCTGGAGGTGGGTCGGTCGAAGGGAATGATACGACAGCGACCTCGAGGCGGATGACAGCCCGTCAGCGGGTTTGACCGTGAGCTTCCGTTGTCGCTCTCGTAGTCTTTCTCGCGTATCAGCAGAACATCTAGACCCTCTGCACGAGGCGATGACATTGATGACGACGGCAATGACAACAAAAAATGTTTGCTCCCTTGTCTCCATTGTGGTCTCCGCTTGGGGTGCGGGTGCCTCCACTGGCCAACTTCTCAGTTGCTTTACAAGAAAGTCCACCGAGCAGTCAGCCAGCCAGCCAGCCGGCTATCCGATCGGGTAGCCAGTCTTACAATAATGCGTTATAAATGAGGTGTTGCGACATCTGTTGGACGTTAGTGAGACAAGTATTGGACCGGAGGACGGAATCGATCCGCCGCCGCTAAGAAGCGAGACGCAGCGCGGGCTGACGGCCAGCCCGCTCACTGGAAACAGCAGAAGCCGAGGAGCAGCCGTCGGCAGACTGAGTGAGATTAGGATGACCGAATATCCGCTCGTCCCGCTGCAGTTCAACGGATGGATGGACGGGGGCCGAACGTACGAACGCAGCAGTCGACCAAGCTCGAAGACAGGCGCCGGGCTTGAGAGGAGGCGCGCATGGCGAAAAGTTAGGGAGGGTCTGTGTCGCCGGGAGTCGCGTCAAGAAACTCGCGATGATGATGAAGTCGACGACGACGGGAGACGGCAGCAGCGTAGGAGGGAAGAAATCTGGAGAAGAATCAAGCGGAAAGAAAGTGGAGAATAACAAAGCACGGGTGCCTGGGCACGACGTGGCGCTGTTGGTTTATGAGAGGTGTGACCGTCGAGATTTTTCGGTGGTAGGCGACGCTCACTGTCTTACGCTTAGGTTCACGCCCCGAGCAGTCCCGACGCCGCGCCACCCGTCGACCGTAAGAACGATGTCTCAATGGTTCTGTTGTGTCCGGGAATTTATGAAGGTATCGAGGAATCGAACGCGGCCAGGACCTTCGACGAGGGCCCTCGGCAGGAGTGCCCCACGTCCCACTACAGCCTCCAACCGAAGATTCTGCCAACGTTTTCAGGTCGAAGTCTCTGGTGGAACTCTTCTGTTCGGTGGGAATGCTAAGCGGAGCGCTAGCGTAAGACAGCTGGGCGTAGCGAACCTTGCAACGTCAGCCAGCCGTTCGCCCAGTCAGAGCGCGGTCGGGAGACGGGAAACCGGGAAGAAGGCCCGGACTCCCGCCGGGAACCGCTGTTGCGTCTCGTTTTGCGTGGGAGCCACCTTCCATGCCCCCTCATCCTTTCCCCGCTCTCACTTATTGTCGTCGACCTCGAGTTCGTTGTAAGTGATTAGCAGTCGCGTGAGGAGAAAAAAATCCGCAGCCCGCAACAACGACCACTTGAAGACTGCGATGCTGTCGGGGCGCAGTTTCACTGGTCGGATCCTTCACCGGCTTGTTGGCTCGCTCCACTCGTCGTCGTCTCGAGCGACGGCGGCGGCGATTGCGGCTTGCGAAGACGACGATGCTTCTCGTCGTTCGCGGTTGACAGCTCCGAAGACTGTTGGTTTGCGCCGAGAATGCCCGTCAGTGTCTGCCTTGCGGGAGAATACCACACCCTGGCGGACATCTAGCGATGACTATGAGGCCACCCCGCCCCCACGTAAGGGTGGTAAGCAGTCTGTCGGTCGGTCTGTCTGTCGGGAGCGACAGTGTTTGTGGGAGTTAGGGTTTCGCGGAGAATCCGCCCAGCAGAGCCGCCGCCGGTCCGAGCCAGTCGAGCAGGGGGTCCAAATGGCTTTGGGAAAGGAGCCGACGACGGAGAAGAGGACGACAAGAGCGGAAGACGTTCAAAGAATAACGAGGAGCAAAACACGGAAAACGACAACGGCGACGACATCCGCCATGGCTACGATCGGTGAGCCGGAGACGCTCTCAGTCAAAGACGCCCCCCCCCCACACGGTGTGTGTGGGTGGGTGGATGGGTGGGTGCGGGTGTCGTTGCCCAGGTCGGAGTCCCGGGCTCGTTGGTGGTCCCGGGAGCCCGTGGGTTGACAGGCAACCAGGCGGGCTCACAGAGAGGATCTGCGACGCTCGTTGTATATCGCGCTCGGAGCTATAATCGTCAGCTGAAAAGCAAAAACCGCCCCCCGCACTCACTCAAAGCCTCTAGCGCAGGTTCGGTTGCGATCACGGGCGCACACCCGCACGACTTTTCGACTGGCTCGCTTCGAACGCCGCAGCGTCGCCGCCGTTGTCAAAATTGTAGCTGATTAGCTCCTCGTTCCTTTTCCCGAACTCCGAAAAGCGTAACAGTTCCGGTGCATCGATGCTTGCGGGCCGGAACGATAAGGACGAGGAAAGACACAACGACAGCGGCAGCAGTGGTAGCACCACCACCCACCGCCACCGACGTCAACAACAACAATGGGAAAAGAGTATCGACTCGAGACGGCAGGACGCTGTGGTGGAAAGAAAAGGACCACTGTCGGTGGGGATGAACGTGCCGCACTAATGGTCGCGGAGATCTTCGGGACGGCCGAACAGCAGATAATTAGGAGGCGGTTTCGATAAATTGAACTGTTCATTCCGTTCCTCATCAAGCACAGATACGGATAGGTGGACCCCGCCGATAAAGAGCCGTCGTCGGTCGCAATCTCGTCCGACAACGCACCGGACCTTCCGACGGGCAGTGTAGCGAGCGGTCCAGTGCTCGCGCAGAGGACCCAATCCTAGTCGTTTCCGACGACGAGCTCAAGGTTTTAGTTCGGATTTCGAGCGAATTCACGAGGAACGTTCTTTTTTCCTGGTTCCAGGTTGCGGAGCGCAATGATCGCGGAAATCTGTAGGTGATTTACGAATACCCCATTGTCTCTGATCCAATCTGCTCGTGCCAAGAGCAGCACAGCTCTCAAACTGTCTTACCGGAGGAGATCGATCGTGCTGGGGCTGGACGACCAGTCACCCGCCATGTCCCAGGTATGAATTCCGAATGCTGAATGGCTCTGTTTTATATGCGAATCGCTAGGTCGGATGAAACAAGAGGCGTTACCTTCGTCCTCGGACGCCTGTTTACCCTCAGAGGTTAGGTAAGCGGCTCGGATGGATGGTTTGTAGGTAGATAGGTTGGTTGGTTGCTCGCTTGCCATCATCCGTTCGTCCGCTCAATTCTCCACCCGCAGCACGCTTTACTATGAGCCAGGTTCACTTTCTCCGTCTGCAGCTGTCCATTAACTCGGATCTCGATGAGCGAGAGCTAGGACCCGACGAAAGGGGTGAAGTTGCCGCCGGAGGAGGAGGTGGCGGCGGCGGCGGGCTTTCAACGACTCCGCAGGCAACCGGAATGAGCAGCGTTCTCAATGCACAGTCTTCAGAAGAGTTGCTCATCAATGCCGATGAAGCCGACGTCGATGAGGTCGATCACCTCATACAGGTAAGAATGTGGCGGCGCTCCTCTTTCGACGACACGAACCCTGTCGAATGATATTCCGACAATACCTCGCCTTTGTAGGCGAACTCACCGGTTGAATAGTTGTTCGTTGCTCCTTGTGTCGAGCACCGTTTATCGGGAAGAATCTCTTCAAGGGAGAGTTCTTTCCGGTTCTGCGTAACAGGCTCCTTTTCCTTTATCGTTGATTCCATTGTTACAAGTTCGCGGCGATTGTTGCGTACTGGATAAAGAATCGAAAGACAAAAGGCTCAGGAATTTTCCTCTCGTCCCCAGAGAAGGTCAGAGCTTGAATCTTATTGTTGAGCCTTCCCTAATTGGAAGGATTTGCGAGCTTGGACCTGGCCAGACGAGTCTTTTTGAGTCGGTTGGCAAGATATCCGAATCCGATGTAGGGCCGCGCAAGGCGGATCCGAGCCTCTCAGATTCGAGTGGTCTGAAGTCAGTCAAAGGCAATAAGGTCACAGATTTCTTACTCCCCTTTCCCAACGATCTCCGCGCGGATTCTCTCGCGCGCTTCTAAAATAAGATTCTTGAGCGTATTGAAGTTCGTCCCACCGAGCTGTTCACCTTCGCTCCAAGTCGGAACAGACTCCGATTGACGTTGAATTCATTCATAGCTCCCAACGGTGGCCGAGCCGGTTCGTCGAGGCGTCAGGCCTGGCGTCGCCTCTCGCTTCATATTATCCTACCGGATCGGGATGCGACCTGTTCACATTCCCCCTAGGAATCCCAGAAATCGGGAAATCCTCCATCCATGGGCCCAGATTTGTGCGATAGTCATGGCGACGCATTCGCCCGAATGAGTCACTTACTCAGAGCGGTGAAGAATATTGTCGAAAGTCCCCGAATAACTGAAAACTCAGAACCTTAATGGAGTGTCTGCCCATAACCCTCTCGCGCGTGGATCAAGTCACTTCGTCGTTAAGCACATAAAAGTGTTCCGTAGACGAGACAGCTATCAATCCATCCGAGGAAGATCCATTAATTCAGCTGTTCGCCCATCCAAGATAAATAACCGCGTCGTCGGTGTCGTTGCAGGGCCGGGAGCGGACTCTCCTGAACAACTTGATCAACAGAGCGCAGGACTTCCCGAGTAAACCCCCTCCGCTGCCATCACAGCCGCCCGTGTTTCAGCATCTGATGGGCGGGGGCGACGAGAGCAACGCGGCCACCATGCCTCCGATGAACATCACATTGCCACCTCCGCCGAGCCACTTCGTGAATCTTCAGCACCAACACCAACATCCACATCCACATCAACACCAACATCAACACCAACACCAACATCAACATCGGAGAGCTCATCGACGACATCGGCACAGCCTTGTCGATATAAAAGGAGTGAGTTCCTGCTAATCGTGAAATCTAGGGATTGGTAGTTTTCTGAGCAAACACGTTCCGATTGTACAAGATTTGTTCTCTTTGCTTGTCGCCGTCCCTTCTCCTATCGTAGTTCCTCCCCCCTCTCCCCCTTCTCATCATCATCCATTCATGGGCTCCGATTGGGCGGGGTGAAGAAATCGAGGGCTTCCGTGGGCTCTCTTCTTAGAAGGAGCTCACGTTTCATGCTCCCAGCAGGTGGGACTTGAGACGCAGGAACAGATGTGAAGACCGTTACAAAGCTCTGGATTTCTTAGGGGATTTCAACTCTATTCATGTAGAACTTCCGGGGGAATTCCACCAGAGCTGCTCCGACCTACAAGCGCCTAGTAGGCATGGCACGCTTTCGCTGATATGCGAGTTCGCCGTCTGCCTGCCTAGCGGCGAAGATTTCGCCTGAAAAGCTCACGTCAGTGCCAAGAGCGGGAAGGGTTCGGGTCGTCGAGGTAGGAACTACTGATGGAGGGAGTCCTCTGAGCGAGAGCTTGATTAATATTTGCATAATTGAGAACGCGCCGAGAAGCTCAAGTATGGCTCGAGCGTAACTTCTGTACATACGATCAGTTCGTCGGTCGGTGGGTCGGCCGGCAGACTGGCTGGCTGACTCTTAACGTATCCGCCAGCAGCCGACGCCGCCGCTTCCGTCGACAGGAGAACGGCTGAGAAAGGGAGGAGGGAACAAGCCTCGGGGGGGAACTAAGAGAGGAATAGGAACACAAGAAACTGGGACTGCTGCCAACCTCGGCGTACAAGCAGGCGAGGGGGAGAACTGGTCGACCGTAGTCTTTTGTCATTACAATAGAAGCTTCTTTTCGCTCTCGTTCGTTATCTTGGTTCTCTCTCTCTCTTTCGTTTTTTTTGTTTTCCTGAAACGATTCATATTTTCTGATAGCCCATCTTGGCTGTCATGAATGAATACTTGTATGAGTGAATATATCAATCAATCATCGCGGCGCTTCGGTGCTAATACGATCGCCTGTTCTCGCGCAGAGTCTGGTCGCTGGTCATCTGTCGGGGTCGTCGTCCGACTCAGATTCGGAGGGGGATTCCTCCTCTTCGGAAGATTCGGAGCTTATCTGTAATAAAACCGAGTGCGCCATGAACGCTAACGCCGGCCACGATGCCGAAGCAGGACGAGCACATAGGATCGCTTCGCTCGGCGGTGATGGGTAAGTCGTAATTGCTCGGCTGTCGCCGTCGTTGCGGATATCGTTGTCCGTTTTCTTTCTCGCCTTACCAACCAACTCGCCGCGACTAGAGACCTTGAGTCACGAAGAAGGTCGGAGCGGGCGTGGGAACCTCCGACGGGGAATTTGAGAGCGTTCTCGAGGGAGAGATGCATAGTTTTCTCTTCTCTGTTCCTGACAGAATGCGCGACCTCATCATCAAAAACAAACTCAGCGGGTCGACCATGGGTCTCGACATCAAAACCGTGGCGTTGCTACAAGAGGAAAAGCTGCAGATGGAACGAGGCGTCGACATGGACGACAGGTCGGTCAAAGGATTCATGGGAACGAGTAAGCGCAAGAAGAAACGCGGTCGCGGTCGGCGTAAGAAGAAGAAGAAGATCCCGAGGTGAGTTGCGGAGCTAAAAATCTTTCGGAAGCTCGTATTAAAGTCCGTTCGAGTTAATGTGTTTCTCTGACGAGACGACGACGGCGGAGCACGCACTCCGAAGGTTAAAGCCGCAGCCGTTTGCGGCTTTAATGCCTGCGGTCAAGGAGTTAATGTTCTCGCGGTGGCCATTCGAGTAATTTTCGTGAAAACGATCCTCGGCTCCGAGGGCTTCCCGTCGTCGTCTCGGCGAAATTCCCCGAGAAAATCATAGGTAGAGTTCAAGTGCGAGCCCATCCTTGATGAATGTTTCCGAGGAGGCCAATGGGCGAGAGGCAAGGATAGAGAGCGAGAGGGATATGCTTGAGAGTCCGGGAGATCGTGGAGCTTAAGCTTAAGAGCTGAGCAAATCCTGAGTCATGGAAGGCTTGTGTTGGCATGAATTCTGGAGTTGAAAGCCGGCGACCGACTTAGCTCTCGCGATCTCGTCTAACGGTCTCGGTGCCCTTGTTTTCGCTTTCAACGAGAGGTGGTCATCCTTTTATATGGCGATTTTTTGGGGGCTTTAGTGTCAGATGACTCGATCCTCGGCGAGGAACTCTCGCCGTAAATTTTCGTGGTCTAGCTCCGCTCGCCGGGATGCCAGGCCCGGGTGCGTACTCCGGGATGGGCGAGCGTCGATTGTAGTTATACATTGATACGCTGATTGGTCGAATCATCGATGACGATGACCGATATAATTATTGTGAGTATATTTCCCTAATCTCTATCCGGCGTTCCAGATATCTCCAGAGCGCTCCGATCAAGCTGCTCAAGCATCCGGCGGAGCGGTCTGCGACGACGTCGATTCTGAGCTCTTTGCTGCTGATGACGATTTCACTTCTCACCGGTCTACCCCTGGTCGCTGGAATGTTGATGCTCCTCCCGCTTGCGTTTTGTACTAGGCACACATGCAAGAGTTGTGCCGCGTGTCAGGACGGAGTTCTGTGCGAAGAACACCAAGACGAGAACGGAGTGGGTTTCGCTGGCCCACGATTCGTCAATCCGATGGACAACCTGTGGCTTCACGACGCTCACTTCAATCACAACATAGGCCACTGCTTAATCTTCATGGAGCCCGGGCTAGACGCGAGCACTCTTGCCAATCATTTGCATGATCGAATTCTCGACCGCACCAACGAACGGGGCAGACCAGTGTTCCGCAGGTTCATGAAGAAGGTAAGAACCAGCCGCCGAACCCATGCGTCGCAGATCCTTTGTTGACGGACAGACGTGTCTGCCACGAATTTCGTTCCGATTGCAGATCGTTCCCCAAGTCGGCGGCTTTTGCTGGGTCGATGACGATGAATTTCGTATTGAGCGTCACGTGATCGGTGACGACAAGCCTCTGCGAGATTACATGCAGCTCACCAGTTATTTGACCAACCTGATGTCGAAAGGAATGCCGGCCGACCGGCCTCTCTGGGACATTCGGGTGCTGTCCAATTTCAACTGGGGCCAAGAGACCGTTCTCGTCGTACGCGTACATCAAGTGCTCACCGATGGAATGTCTCTACTGAAGGTTCGTAAACTCCGTCCGTCGATCGAAAGTTTGCCGGAACCGCAGCCCCACGGGAGGATCGAAGAGCTCGGATGCGACTGCCTGACTGACTGACTGACTGACTGACTGACTGAACGACCAACAGACAGACATACAGACTATCTGGCTGACCCAAGTTTCGTTGAGTCGAAAATCTGATCCCTCAGCGTGATGAGGTCAATTCGGTGGTCGAGGATAGAACTGACTCGATTCCGATATTTCAGGTGCTCTGCAACCATTTGGCAGACGGTGCTCAATCCCGTTCGTGCGGCCGCTTCAAGCCAAGATTCGGCGGCACAAACCTGGCTCTCAACACGATTAAAGCAATCCTCATCGGACCTCTTGCAGCCATCCTGAACTTCGCCTCGAAACCTGACTGTAATATCTTCCGTCGAGGGAAATACGATAAACTAATAGGTGTGTACGGGTAGTCGAACGTGTATCAGGGGTCGGAGCTCCTCTTGCTTCGGACGCGACGTTATGTCCGCCGCCAGATCAGGCTCTCCGAGGGAGAGCTGGGGTCAGGACTCGATGAGGGGACGAGATTGCCCCGTTGGCGATCCGCGAAGAGATTCCGACACTCCCTCGCGATGGCTTATTCCTCGGCTCTTCCAGGTGAACGTTCTATCGCATGGTGTCGCGACTTGTCTCTGGAGAAGATCATGCGCATCAAACGTGTAACCAGAAGTACGATGAACGATGTTCTTCTGGCAGCCATAAGCGGTGCCTTACGAAACTATATGCAAAAACAGGGCATCAGTAACCCGCCCGACATCAAGGTGAGGCCGACGAGCTGAGATCTTGTTTCCTTCGTGTCCTCCTGAGTGGGAGAGAGGACGGCGGCGAAAAAATTCGGCGGGGGAACAGGGGAAACGGTACCCGGCGAAGTAATACGATCGGGGCGACAAAAATGCCCTCTCCGACACAGGACGCCGAGCCGACATATGACCTTTATGGCCTGTATTTCATGGTCGGATCGACGATGGCGAGCGGCTTGCCCAGTCGCTAGTCACCTGCGTTTTTTCTTCCTCGAACCGACTGCGTCTATCGAAAATCACATGAGCTCAGCCACGTTCGAGGCTATGCCCAGCGAAACTTTGCTTTCATGGATTTTTCCTTCCTCCTATCCAGGTCAATCTGCCTGTGGATCTACGGCCGGAGCCTAATCCCGTATCAGCTCCGCCGTCGATGAACATTTCGATGGGATCGAATGGAGGAGGTGTTCACTCGGATTCGTCGGCCGGGGCTCCTCTCGGAACTCGTTTTGCGAACTGTTCAATCAAATTGCCCACGAATACCGAAGGCGCCATCCCTCGCCTCTGGGCGGTGCGCCAAGAAATGGACAACTTGAAGGCGTCCTCCGACCCCCTAACCATGTATGGTTTCCTCCAGTTCCTTCTCGTAATTCTCCCCTACCGTTGGGCGCACTGCATTTTGTCCTGGTACAACAGGAAGGTGAGTTGAGTGGCTGCAGGCAGATTTTCCCGCTTGAGACTTCTCGGTTCCCTCTAGTCAATCGGAGATAGGTCGCTAAGAGCTCGCAGACGCTCCGCCATCCGACTATATCGGTCTGAGCTGAAACGGACAGACTTTCGGTAAGCGACAGCCGATGACGTGGTGAAAGGGAAAGTCGCCGCTCAAATACTCTCATTTATCTCTGTTCGTTGTTGTCTCCTAGCATGTGGCAGCATCCGGCATCTTTGTTCGGAAGCTCCACAATGTAACAACGAAAAAGACATCTACGTCACCGAGTAATGAATAAACGAATCTGTCCGGTCACAAATAACCGGATATAGAACGAAAGCTCGTCACCGCTCTCTGGGAGCGCTTATGCTCGTTCGCAGCTCCCTAAACAAAGTTACTCCGATTGACCTCTTTTTTTGCCTCGTCGATACTGCGCGGCATTCGCAGCGATCTCATTAGCGCGTCAATAATTCTTCGCAGTTAACCGCCCTGGTCAATTCAATGCCTGGTCCTTTGGAATTCGTCTACCTCGATAGTAAGCGAATCAACAACATGGTAGCTTTCACTGGGTGCTCACCGGACATTCCTGTTTGTGTCACGTTCCTCAGTTATGGGGAGAACCTCCAGATCAGCGTGTCAGCCGAGCGAGCGTTGATGCCTGAGCCGTACACGCTCATCAAGCTTTTCTCGAAGCAGGTTAGTTGATGGGACTTTCGATGTATGTACGTACGAACGTCCCCAACCCTGGACGGAGCATCCAATGTGCAGCTGACAGCTCATCGTGTCAAGCTCATGAATGAGACTAACTGTAAGTCGCTCCTTTCCGCCGTAGATTGAGCACCTCTGTGATCTTCTGTCTGCCCGACGAATTCCCGGTGATCATTCGAAAGCCAAAATTGGATGTTACGTACAGCAGAGCCAACTCGTCCAACAGGGTTCGTACAACAACGCATTGTATTGATTTCCGATTGTTGAGAATAGAAATAAGAGAAAAACGACGCCGGGCCCGACGGACGTCTCACCGTTTAGGCGCACCCCGATCGAAGTGTTTGCATTGGCACCGCCATCCGTCTCAATAGCTCACGAATGAAATAGAGGAACGAATTCCAGGTCTTGCGACTATTTCCTCTCTTGCGTCAGGGTCTCAGAGGACGCATCCCACCACCCAACTGGTGCATGGCCGAAGCGGCGAAGTGAAGACCTCGATAACTAGAAACGAGCTCTCGCCCGAAGGCTCACTGTCCGACATACAAGAGGTTCGTACTGTTGCATCTGCCGGTCCCCCTCCTCCCCCGGATTCGCTCGATTGGATGTCCGAGAGAGCAAATGGGAATGATTTGTTCCGTGGGAAGCTTTTCCTGGTTTTGAAGTGGCAGCATCATGTTCGGAGCCGAGCCTGAATTAGTGGTTGTGATAGCCCGATTAGAGAAGCTTCCGTCACCGAAAACCAACGCTCTCACCCCACCCCGCAGCTGCACCAACGTCTCCAGAGTGTTCAAGTGGAGCTCAGCGAACTCCAAGAACAACTCGATGGCGTGAAACCAGGCGGAGACGAACGTCGCGAAATGGAAATTCGCTTGACTTCTCTGCGTGAGCAGTTCACGTTGATTCTGAGCGAAATCAAAAGAGTCAAAGGAGCGTCTCCCGGAGCTGCCTGTGAGGTGAGATAAGGCACCGCTGTCAAACTGTCCCTCCGGCATCTCCCCTGAGCCTAGCAAGAAGATTCACCCCCTCAACCCGGAGACAAGCTCATTGAGCCGACCCTTTGAAAACTAACCCACAAACGTGTTCCTCCCACGCACAGGACGATATGCTGGAAGAAGATGGAGAGCTGCTCCGCTGTCGTGTAGGCAGACGTTCATTATCCGCATGCGTCGTGCGCCGGCCATCACTGACCATTCTGACGAAGTCTCTGACAAACCCGCACAACTCAAACAACTCGATCAGTAGCCTTCACAAAACTCCTTCGGGACTCGAAGGCAGGGATCAGGACTCCGATGTACAGCGGAGCGGTCCAATCGTAGCCAGGAAAGCTTTCGCCGGTGATGACGACAGCTCGCGAAGAGGTTAGAATGATCCGAATCATTATCTCGATTTTTTTCCCGACTCCCATCGGTGTCGTGAGATGGATGATGCAGCTCCCCGGTTCCCGATTCAGATTCACTGTCCCATTCGACGGGATTCCCCGCTCGCCAAAGGTCCACTAAATCCTCCCGATGTCCCCAATATCTTGCGGAGCTCACAGAACTTACTTTTGCCTCTTCGCAGAACTCTCCAAGTCGCCTTCGAACAGTAGCCGGCGACTCGTGACCATTCAGAGACAAGAGAATCCGGCCGGGATTATCGTTCATGGAGGTTCCGCCGAGGGTTTCGATTCCTTGTACCACCGCGAATCAGGTGGTCGGGATTCACACGACGACGGACAGGCGGCGCAGTCTTCATCCAGAGATTCAGTTGTTGTAGAGATTCAGCTCCCGCCCCCTCCAACAGAGTTCCCAGGGGAAGCGATCGACAGCTCCTCGCTGCAATCGGGCTACTCGTCTCAGATCAATATGTACGAAGAGCAGAGCAGCACAGACGACAACGCATCGATGCCATCATCGGTGGTAGTTCCGATCCAACGTCCGGACACGAGTCCCTCTCATCCTCCCCACTCGGAGGTGTGAGCTCGCCTCGACACCGAACGTTCAGTGCCAACTCGAGGGCTCGAATAATTGTTTCTTTCAAACTGAGGCTCTCCGCTCCCGGCGCCGTGAGGGCGTGCCCTGCGCTTCGAATGTCATTCACCCGACAGGGTACCCTCCGAGTAGCCCGACGCTCGGATATTTTCTGAGCTTGTTTTTCACGGGTGCCGGTTCTCTATACGGAAACAGTGGAGCTTCGAAACCGGTCTATACCCGGTCCTTTATCCGGTGCAAATATGATTATTTATAATGAATACTTATGTAGTAGCTAGCAGCGGAAGAATATCGCAGTCGCCGAATTCAAGGAATAGACGAGAACTCCAAATCACAGATGATGACCATAGAATCGCGATGAAAGTACGTAGGTAGGATAGTCAATGAATCGCCAACGGTTCCGACAGCCGGGGAGAATAATAGACGCTTACTTTTCTACGGGAATATTTCTACGGTGACAGAAATCCGAACATCAAGGATATTTGACGAGACTCGGACGATTTCTGTACGGATCCCAAGCTCGAGTATCGTCGTTCGCTTTATCCATCCACGGGATACCATCGAGCCGATGACATGTTGATACTAGGAAATGAAATATCACGGTTTTGAAATGAATTTCGATGATACCGCTCGAAACATTGGGTCAAGAAAAACCTCTGAACCCAGACGGAAGAACGCGTCATCGAACGAAGACGCGTAGTCGGACGATTCGGAATTCCATCTCGGAATTCCGTCTCGATCATTACCTCTATGAATCTTCGTAGCTGTGCAATCGGAAGTCTTCCCCTAAGTTCACCGAGAGGTCCCTGCCGTCTAGACCGGGATGTTGACGTTCAAGGCGGGGACCCTCCAAGTTTGAGTCGCTATGTATGCTCTTTGGCTGCCACCTGATTCTAGAGCTTTCGAATTTCGTTTCGTGAGTTCCCCGACCAAGTCCTCGGCCTCGGAGGCGGCTGTTGTAGTCGACGGTCGATTCTCGGTTTTTGTCAATGTGCCCACTGCCCCTGTAGGAGGACACTTAACCATATCTCCATGTGTGCCATTATGAATGCGGTTATTATCATTATCGATTGAAAAGTACGATAAGTTGGATAGGTTCGGTTCTTACGAACATCTGATGAAATCCCGAGGAATGAGCCAAATGTGCGGGTTGAGGGAGGAAGAGAAGAAAACTCGAGAACGAATATTTTCCAGCATGGCAACTAGGAATAGGAAAGGAATTCTCAGCGAGCGAAATATAGTCGCCGCCATCGACTATTCAAGGAGGGACGTTTGTGGAAGATTGATGTTTCCCCCGCCTCTGTCTAGAAAGAACAAGCCCCCGTAGTCGAGCAATTCGTAGTCTCAGCTGTTCTGATAAATTCACGATGAATGTGCGATCGACTGTGTCGGAAGGCAGACCTGACAGAGGAATCGGTGTGACGGAAACATGAGTTTCTTTGTTCCGTTCCAGAATGTCTGCGGCGTCGTCCGCAATGCAGAAAGCCGGAACTTTCCTTAGCGTAGAATGATGGCATCCGCCGAATACATATACATAATTATCCATATTTATTGAACGCGAGTTTTTGAGTACCAACAACAGACAAGAAAATTATCTCTTCCAAGCGACCCGAACCAGCTTCGCGATTGGAGGCGTGAATGATATTGAGAGGTCCGGTTCCGGGCGTCCCCGAGCAGAGCTTGCGAGTAGAGTATTCGAGGCGGGAGGGGGTGTCCCGTTCAAGGTTGGGACTCATTTCGAATTAGTGCAATTATTAGGCGGGTCGAGGAAGCGAGGCCGACATGACTCCGGAATGTTTCGAACGACGTTTTTAGCCACGGAAACCCTGGAACTCGAGGCCTGATTACCGTAGCTTCGCGGCGCCATATTCAAAACGCTCTGTCTGAAAGCCTTCAGGACTCGGTCTCGGTCATTTCCGATATGGCTCGCCGAGGCCTCAGGCATTGTCGAGTTCTTCTTCCCTTGTCGACGAAGAAAGGTACACCGAAATGTCGGAGCGCTATCCACCACACCACAACTCAACCTTCTTCACTAACGGCGAAATCCTCGGTCACCTGAATGTTTTTTCAGGATAGAAACCAGTCGGATTTGAATTCTCAGCTCCGCCCACAGAGTCCGTATGCAACCACCTTTTGGAGATTACACCAGCACTTGGACAGTGAAAATCATAAGTCGTATTTCTTACGTAGGAACAATTCTCTCGGCGGAGCTTGAAACGTACGCACATTTTGGGTGGTTTCCGTCAACTTGCGCCCAAGGGGAATATTACGATCGTCGACCCGGGGTTAAATGGCTAAAAACGCGAAAATCAATCAAGAGGCCTCCTCTCGGAGTGGACCTTTCTTTCTGAAAACCCAACAAGAAAAAATAGAAAGTTTGAGAGTGGTGCCTGGATGAATCGTGTGACATACGGGCGGTATTTGTAGATTCAATTGAACACAGACTTAAGATATAATATTAAACAACTCGTGCCCAGGGTTGCGGTTGAGGGAGGGGGAGGTGTGGAGGGGAGCAAGGTGATCTCGGGCGGGGCTTGGGGAACCGTAAACGATTGTAAGCGGTAATATACCGAGAGTGATTGATTGATGTACCGTACAGGGATGTCTGATTGATTGACCGATCATTCGTGTGATTGAGTGTCATCTGTATGAACGGGACTATGGCGAAGCGTTCAATAAAGATCGACTGTTTTTAGTGGTATAGGTGCAGCACACGACCGTGTTTTCTATCGTGATCGCGCTCATATAAGTTAGTATGTCCGAATATCGGCTGAGGTGATGAGCCGACAGAATTTCAAGCACCATTCCCTCTCATGCAGTCACTGCGGTCAGAGAAGCGATGAGTCAGATGAGGGAGCTCTCCGAATTCAGAGAGCAGGCATCCCCAGTCGAACGACTCCCTCAATTTGAGAGGCGCGAGCCAACGTTTACTCTGTTCGTTCGCGATTAACTCACGAGTCTCTCGTCTCAAATTGATGGCCAATGTTTACCTAGATGTGGAGGAGTCTCAATTCGGAGAACGACTCAGGCAGCTTGGAGCGGAACTGAGTGCTGACTGTAGGACTCCTCCGCTATTCACGTAAGACGCAAGCGCCGCTAAGCTTCCCGCTTGGCTCGCTAAGATCCGTATGCTTCCCAGCAACAGTCGAGTCTCGAGTAATCCGACCGAGAAGCATCCAAAAGTATAAAGAGCGATATCGAGTTCGAATTTGAGGTCGCCTGATGGTAATCCGCGGGGGAGCCTCGGAGAGAATTCGATGTGAATCCAAAAATCAGAGATTCAGTGAATCTGCTCAGTTTATGTTACGCGGGGCGTATCTTGTTCATCTTGTCGTTCTTCTCCTCCCCCAACGAAAGTTTGACTTCTTCGTTTCGCATAGCCGCCGCTTAACGCCGGCTGTGATCTTTCACAGGGGGTGGAGTCGCTTGTCGGCCAAGTTCGTGTCCTTTTTCCTGAACTCAGTCAGTTCGGTAGCCAACTCTACCGTCACCTCTTCCCCGAACGAAGCGACTTTGATGGATTCAGCGAATGCGACTGCATCACTCGTATGCCCCGTAGGAAACGTGTTTTTTTCCGCAGCATGCGCACAGAATTGCACCTCATCCATCTTGCCGATGATGAACGTCGGCAATACACAGCCTCAATCATGATTCACAGACTGGAGGGTGTACGAACGTTGACGGAAAAATATTTGAGCTCCTGTCCTTGCGACGTATCTTCCCTGCCCAGGATTCATTCACGCCTTTATTTCATGGGCGACTCAGCGGGGACGGATGATCCGTGTCCCTCCGAGCTGAATGTAACAATGCGTGCGATCGCGTCTGGGGAACCCAGACTCTGCGGAAGCAATGCGTTTGCAAAATATTTTGCTCTTCTCCACCAATTTCTATTCGATTCAATTCACGTTAGAGGAGCCATCATCAAGGTAGGAACCTCAGCGAAAGAAGGTACATATACGAATCAGGATTTGCTCGAATCAACGCGCAAAATGGAGAATTTCGAGTCGCACCAATGGAGCAGCCACGTTTCGCGAGGAATCCCCCGATGATGAGATCTCTTGGATGCGCTAGCTGAAAAATATTCAAGATCGGCATTCCGAGTGAGAGAAGAGAATTCGTGCGAGATCTTGTTTGGGCCTGATGGACCTGTCAGGTTTCTTTTCTTTAGCTCATCGCGCTCGGAAATCATTATCCTCTTGAGCGTGGTACTCTTCGGCTACGAGCATTCGTCCTTCGACGAGGATTCGAAAGCGCGAGGCTTGTCTCGTGCTGAGAGAACCATATCAGATTGCACGCTGCCCCACGCCGTTCCTCAGGGGAAACATTCTGCCGGCCATACAAAGGATGCCGGAACGACTAAGATCAGAATTCACGTAAGACATAACCCTCGAGACCCCTCGGCTACTCTCGGCTCGCCTTGGTGATGAGCTGATCCTTTCCCGCGCTTGGAAATTCCTCATGGAACGCACTTTCCCCGCAGGTGTTCTTTCCGCCTAGCGCGGGAAAAATCTGTTCCCGACGACGAGATATCCGGATCGTGGTCAATGCCATGGGACGCCGAGATGGTCGAACCAGAATTCCTCAAAGGGCCTCCGCAGATCGCCTTCGGGCAGACGGGCGGGCGTACGGCGGCTCAAATCTGAGTTAGCCGCGATTTGTACTGCGGGTCCTCCCCTTGTCGCCCTCAGGGTCCTTTCCAAGAAAAATTGTTCCAGTCCGATAGTAGTGCTTGCCTCTGAAAAATAAGGGCTCTCGCCAACTCGAATACTTTTCTCAAACTCGATACCGACGGATTCGTCGGTTCCCGAAAAAGTTTTCCCCCTCCTTTGCTCAGTAGAAAAGATGATGATTGCGTCGATGACCGGACCCCATCGATGGTCCAATGCTCCTCGAACCTGGCCCTCAAACAATGTGTACGGCTCATTCCTCGGTTCCGTTACTCATTCGACCGAATCGACTCCATACTTCACTAAACCGGCTGGAGCCGA